TCCAGCACCCAAATTGAAGCCTCGCTGATGGACAGACTTCATCAGTTCCTGGTGCTCAAACCAAAAGACTTTGAACAGCTTTGGGACTTGTCAGACTTATTGACTGAGCTTCAGTCTGCCAAGGGAAACCCACATCTTCCAGGGTTTGCCTGCCTGGACCAACACCTATCCCAAACTGCCATCATCCAGAAGCTGCCATTCTCCTTACAAGAAGAGTGGGGCAAAGAAGTCTTCAGATTCAAGCAGGCCAACCATCAGGTCTACCCACCATTCGCACATCTTGTAGATTTCGTCACAAATGCTGCCATGCAGTTCAACGAACCACAGACGGGATTTCCAACTCTTTATGGGACTCCAAGGTCGGATAGGCCCATCAAAGAGCCCGGGAAACCTGCAAAGGACAGTGGCACCGAGAGAAGCATCGCCGTCAAGTCCACGGAGACCAACTCATCTCCAGCTGACGCCAAGATGACGCCCGAGGATATTTTGTGCCCACTGCATGCAAAGCCCCACAGTTTGGCCGACTGCAGGGATTTTGCCAAGAAGCCTCACGCAGACAAGGTCGAGATCCTTAAGAAGTCCAGGATCTGCTTCAAGTGCTGCGGTGCAACTCCCCACCAGTCAAAGTCATGCAAAGAAACGGTGAAGTGCGTGGTGTGCCAATCCAAAAAGCATTGCTCAGCCATGCATGACAAGGATTTCATGCCCTCAAAGGTCAAAAGCGGGGCCACCTTTCAACGCTCCCCAGAAGATTCAGCTGGACCTTCATCGGGCACTGAGGCACCCTCTGTGGCCTGCACACAGCTGTGCGGCAGCCCAAAGAAAACTAGGATTTGCCACCCCATTTGTTTGGCAGAGGTTTTTCCTGCCAGCAAGCCTTGGATGAAGAAGAAAATGTACGTGGCCCTTGACAACCAAAGCGACGGTTCCCTGGCCACCCCTGACTTCTTCAAAATCTTTAAGGGGCAAGCAAAGACTATTGACTATTGTATTTCTACTTGTACAGGCAAGCAACAAAGACAGGGCCGCGTTGCATCTGGATTTATCACTTCGCCATGGGGCAAAGACATTCGTTTTGAGTTGCCTGACCTTATTGAGTGTGCATCCATCCCACGCAATAAGGACCAGATTGCTACCAGAGAGATGATGCAAGTGCATCCTCACCTGAAAGGACTACAGGACCTCATTCCACCCTTTGAGCCAGGCATTGACATAGTCCTGCTCATTGGATCCAACTGCCCCAGCTTGATGAGCATCCGAGCTGAGAAGAGAGGTCCTCCTGGTGCACCTTTGGCACAGAAGACTCCATTAGGATGGACCATACAGGGACCTGTATGTGTCGACAGAATGCATCCTCCATCTTCTCTGTGTCCAGTTCAGCCCAACACCCTCAGCTGTGGCAGAGTCACCCTCATGCAAAGTTGCCTCAGCCACATTTCTGTTTGCTGCCAAGGAGTTTCATCTGAGTTCTCTTCCATCTTCGACGTGTCCCGGGATGACGAGAACAACGCGCTCTCCCGAGATGAACAAACATTCCTGAACATCATGAACTCCGAGGTGACTCTCAGCGAGGAAGGGAATTGGATCGCCCCTTTGCCCTTCAAAGCAGACCGGCCTACCCTGCCTCCCAACAGACAGGTAGCAGATAAAAGACTGCAGTCTTTGAGATGCAAGATGCAGTGTGATCCCAAGACCAAACAGCAAATCGTTCAGGCTCAAGATTTACACCAGCTGAGCATCCCACGTCAATTCACGGCCAGGAGCTCTTTACAGAGCTTGCACACCGAACTCCATGTCTTTTGCGACGCTTTGGAGAAAGCTATCGCAGCTGTGGCTTATGCCAGACGCAAAGACTCTAGTTCTTGCACTTTAGGTTTTGCTACGGCCAAGGCTAAGATTGCTCCATCTCACGCCACTGTCCTTAGGTTAGGACTCTGTGCTGCTGTGCTAGCTATCCAATTAGCTCAGATAATTAGGAGAGAGACAAGGCATTTCTTTTCAGTCATCTTCACCTGTTTAGTCATCCGAGCCATTCACATTGAGGTGATTGAATGTATGGATACTTCTGCTCTTTTGAATGCAGAAAAGGTTACATGGCTATTTAATGTACCGCATGCGTCTCACATGGGGGGTGCGTGGGAACGTATGATTGGTTTGTATAGAAAGATTTTGAATGCTATGTTTTTAAAGTATAAGAATTTGACCCATGATGTTTTGGTTACTTTGACGGCGGAAGTGACAGCAATTGCAAATAGCCGCCCATTGGTGCCCATCACCACAGACTCTGATACTCCACAGCTTCTCACTCCTGCATCCATTTTGACTCAAAGACTTCTGAATGGCAGGAAATTATGTACCCTGTTCCTGAAGGGTCTTACAAGGTACTCTGGAAACAAACTCAAACTCTTGCCAACCAGTTTTGGAGACGCTGGAAGGCAGAGTACTTGGCTCAACTCCAGAGTCGCAGGAAGTGGAAAGACTCCAAGCCCAACCTCCAAGTTGGGGACATTGTTTTGCTCAAAGACCCCCTACCTCGTTTCAAGTGGCCTTTGGCCAAAGTTACAGAGACCTTGCCAAGTCCAGATGGATTGGTAAGGAAGGTGAAACTAAGTGTGTGCCAAAATGGCAATGTTTCTGTGTTGCACAGACCTATTTGTGATGTTGTGTTGTTACTGAATGGGTAATTGTTCATTGCCAAATTAGATTTGCCATTGTTATAGTTATTTATTTATTGTTATATTTATTTATTTATTGTTTATTTATTGTTATAGTTATAGTTATTTATTTATTGTTATATTTATTTATTTATTGTTTATTTATTGTTATTTATTGTTATTGTTATAGTTATTTATTTATTGTTATAGTTATTTATTGTTATAGTTATTTGTTATTGTTATAGCCCTAAATGGTTCTGGCCCAAAATACCTGTCTGACCGCATCTCGGCCTATGAGCCCACGAGGACTTTGAGATCGTCTGGGGAGGCCCTTCTCTCGATCCCGCCTGCCTCACAGGCACGCTTGGCGGGGACGAGGGATAGGGCCTTCTCAGTGGTGGCCCCCCGGCTATGGAACACCCTCCCTGTAGACATCAGACAGGCGCCCTCCCTTATGACGTTCCGCAAGAGACTAAAGACGTGGTTGTTTGAGAAGGCGTTTGACTAAGTGCTACAACAATTGGCAATGATGATTGGAACGGAATATGGAAACGAGATCGGATTGTGATTCTATGATGAGATTCTATGATTACACTATGATGACTTAGTGTAATTGTAGTATTAATAGTGATGTTGTAGTTGTTGTTAGTGTAATTGCCTTATTGTAAATTGTCTTTTTTATATGTTGTACACTGCCGTGAGTCGCCCTAGGGCTGAGAACGGCGGTCTACAAGTGCAGTAATAAATAAATAAATAAATAAATAGTATACATTTCTCATCATTGAGAAATCTAGGCCAGGAGTGTGCTGGTACAGCTGTACCAGGAGCTCCATTTCTGTTTGCTTTTGCATTTAATGTTTATTGCAGTCCTAAGTTTCAGGGACCCTGCAGATAGGTGGCTTCTTTTGGCTGCAATCATAGGGCAAGCCACCTGTCAATAATGGTTAGGTTTCCTGGTCCCGCCCCTTTTTGAGTTTTCCTGGTCCCGCCCCTTTTTGAGTTTTCCTGGTCCCGCCCCTTTTCGAGCTTCACAGAGAAGCCTTTCTCACAGGACATAGAACGAAGTGGCTCCTGTAGAAAAGCTTCGTCTTTTACAGCTTGGCCGGGGTTATACAGCCCTATGGCTTGGCCAGGAGACATACAGCCACAGCTTGGCTGAGGGACTCCAGCCGGCCATCACAGCAACCTGAACTCCTTCTTTTTCCCTGGAGGTCTACAAAGCTCTGTTGAGGCAAGGGTCACTCGCGGAAGCCAGACGCAGTTGGTACCGGGTGCAGGGGCTCCACGTCAACAGAGGCAAGTACAGACTGCCCAGATTAGAAGCTAGGATTTCCCCATCAGTTAGTTACAGTTAAGAAGACAGTGCCTGTTCCTAGTGGACAAGATTGAAAGAGCCTATAGACTGTTAAGAAAACCGTTAAAGTAGCTGTTTGTTCCTTAAGAAAAGAACTTTGTTGGACTTACTTTAAGCATTCTAAAGACTCTGTTTGGGGGAATCTAAGGGCCTTTATTCTGAGGCAGCCCTGGCATCCTGTTGGGCACAGAGAATGTATGTCCTGTGTACAGTCTAATGCACAGGCCCAGCGTGCGACAGCAGAGTGATGGCATTCCATGCAGTCATGCTGGCCAGAAAACCTAGGAGGTGTCTACGGACCACACTGGCTCTTCGGCTTAGAAATGGAGATGAGCACCACCACCCAGGGTTGGACACAACTAGACTTAATGGCAGGGGAAACCTTTACCTTTACCAGTTTTACTTTGGACACACAAGTTCATGCATCCAGTGCTTTCTTCTAGCTTGGCCGACACAGCTTTATGACAAATGTTTGCAGGCTGCTACATCTATGAAACAATCATATAACTAGGATTGGAGAAGAAATCTACTTGGCTTGCACTTTAGTGTGGACTTTCTCAACTCATACTTTCAGAATCAGTACACAAATTAAAACACCATTATATTCTGATCCTTGCACCGCTATGAATTTTGTACTGCCACCCACTAATTTAAAAACTTTCTTCAGAAAGTTTTTATTAAGACAAAACTGTGTTTAAAATTTATATAGTAAAATAAAAGCATTACAGTAAATTGCATATGAATTTTGTGCTGGCTAAATTTAGACTGAAAAATACAGATTAAAAAACTGACATACACAAAAATGGGCCTATATCTTCACTCCTATCTAATTCAAATTTACGTGAAGGTCAAATTGAACAACAACTTCTAACACAAGAAGATATCTGGAATAGTTTTCCCTATACGAAAAGAAAAAATGCTTTGGTGAAGCAGAGTTTGGATGCTAGATCACAAGAAGACATTCTTCCCTTTTTTTCTTAATAATTACTTACTTTGGTAGATTTAAATTTTTTCTCATATTGAATTCTCTCACTATCCATTTCTCCCACTTTTAAGCGTAATTCATTAATTTCCTGCATCAAACCCTGTGCAAAAAAGATAAAATAATAGTTGAACATTAATAAAAGAGAAGAACAATCAAAACTCCTCGTTGTACTAACAAGTGCTTTGAAAATGCTTACATTTTCGCAGGATAAAATTAATTAAGTTTAGCTAAAGATATAAATGGTTCTGATGTTTGGTAAATATTTTTTTTCTATTGATACCAACAAATATTGATTTCAGAGTCTATAAATTAAGTTTAAAGACTACGCAGTCAAATCAAATGGTTCATTTTAAACAGAATGATGCCTCTCTCATGTGACAGCACAATTCATGCTGGAAAAATTGGGTTTTGAAAAATACGTCTGAATAGCAATACATAAGTGATGACAGAACTTGGCTGATTGATTGATTAGATTATAATTCACTGTGATCACACTGCCTTGAGATAGGAAATTCCTTACAACCCAGAGGGGAACATGTAAAATCTGTGTATTAAAAACGGAAGGAAGAAACAGTTCAGTCCTGTTTTTGCTCACCTCTGTGTCTCGGAATCTGTCTCCATAGTCTAACCTGTCTTTTTCCACAGCAGTTAGCTTGAGCTTCAAGTTGGAAACCTCAGCCATAAGGTCAAGTTTTTGAGTTTCAAGAGATGTTCTACTTAATAGCTCCTGATAAAAATGAAAAATGAATGGTAGATTAAAAAAAGAAAATACTAGGGGTTCATAACAGATGCAGGCTCACAAGCACAAATAGGAAAACGTTTTACTATAGAGATGATTATTTATGCAATGTATTGATATATGAAAAATGGCATGTGAATCTTATACTTTAACAAAATGGGAATTTCCAAAAGCATGCTGGTCACCTTATAAAAGGTGACCAGTTGCAAGAATCTGTTCCTTACTACCATTTAGGCCTCCACTTAAAGGACAGGATTGATCATGGCTCTACACTGCAGCACTCAAAATATATACCATTGCTTTACATAATTTAAATCCATTGAAATGAAGCTCTGGTTCCGTCTGCCACTGTTAAAAGCCTTGGGGTTGTGTTGGACTCATCACTGACGATGGAGGCCCAGATCACTGCCATAAGTAAGCAGGCCTTTTTTCATCTTCGCCAGGCAAGGAAATTGGCATCCTACCTTTCGGTAGAAGCATTGGCAACAGTAATCCACGCAACAGTCACCACGAGGTTGGACTATTGCAATGCCTTATATGCTGGCCTTCCGAAGTCAACGACCCAGAAGATTCGGATGGTCCAAAATGCGGCAGCCAGGCTGCTAGCGGGATCATCTATAAGATCCCATATTACACCGATTCTGCAACAACTGCATTGGCTACCAATAGAACATCGGATCTCTTACAAGATACTGATCCTGACATTTAAAGCTCAAAATGGCCAAGGACCTTTATATCTTAGGGACCGCCTCATTCCTTTTCCCCATCAGTGGTCACCTCGATCACCCAGGAAAATCTCCTCTACATACCGGGCCCTAGGGAGGTACACCTGGAAGCTACAAGGCGTAGAGCTTTTTCGACCTATGCTCCAATTCTGTGGAACTCATTGCTTCCATATATTAGAGCAATGTCGGAGTTGCGACCTTTTGTAAAGGCGCTCAAGACTTGGCTGTTTGGTTGTGCATTTAAGTAATCGGATCAAATTTTGCCATAGTCACTGCTGAATGTTTTTATGTTGAATGTTTTATGTTGAATGTTTTTATGTTGAATGTTTTTATATTGAATGTTTTTATATTGAATGTTTTATATTGTGTATAAACTGTTTTAAATTGTAAGTCGCTCAGAGCACCTTGGTGGAGAGCGACTAATTAAGAAATAAAGTGATGATGATGAAATAGATAAATCAATTGCTTCCAATACTTTTCTATTAAGAAGATGCTAAAACTTCAATCTAAGTATACACCTTAACATAAATGACAATATGGTTAATTCTTGAGATTTGTGGGTTTGACTTTTGTAAATTTGATTATTAGCTGATTTGATTATTTTCAGATTTCATTAAAATGTTCTCTCTAGAAATTTTAGGGCCTCCAGGTTATTGTTGCCCTGGAGCCCTGGAACACCTTTTCACCCAGCACCACACAATGTTAAGATAATCCAATCAGTAAAAGTGTATTAATGAAAAAGTATAAAAGGAAAAAAGCAAGTCAAAAAAGAAGCAGCAAAAGTACAAAAAGTAATTCCCAGTGAGATCAAGAGTTCATCAGCTTTTGAACCAAGGCATCAAAAAGCAATCCACAGAGACTTGAGTTAACACAAAGCAAAAGAATACATAAGCAAGGTATTCTTGAAAAGTTATATCCATAACTATGAAAACAGGAACACAAGAAAGGCAAAACCTCCAAGAACATGTAGTCATAAACAGGAATCAATCCAAGAATCTTGAAATACAGAAACTAGGAAGTTAGGACTGGAAACGAGGAACTGTTTCTTCTTTTTACAACATTGTTCTCACTCAAGGCACAGAAACCATTAAAAGGCCTCAATCCCTCCCAAAAAATCTCCTTCCACACACCTGCTTTTTCTTTCCTTATCTTGAAGCCTCTGAGAAAAATGAGTTTGTCTTTGTTTTACATTCTGCTTCCTAATTTCAAGGTGACTAGATCTGGAAAAACATTTGTCTCCAACATTTTCACCTTAAGGCTAAATTGGCCTATTCTCATGGAAACTGATATCTCTTTCTCCCATTGCCTGGCAAAGGCCTGGAGATTCCAAAACATCTCCCTCGAGGCCCCTGCTATCTTCCACAGACACCTCAAATTACAGGTTGCAACCTACCATCCCCTTCCTCATTCTGCTTGCCAGGTTACAACAGTTATGCAGTCAAGTTGGAAGACTTAGAGATTTCTAGAGGGAACACTTCTAGTCCTCTAGTCCAATTCTATGGTCAACTTCTGGAGCACACCATGCTAGAGGACCTAGAGAAGTACTCCATCATTTTTTTTTCATTTTTCCACTTGTATAGGGTCCTGCAACCCTAACACCAGAAAATATAGAAGGTTGACAATATAATCATTACAAATCTCAGAGGAAAAGAGAAGCAGATTGACAATAAACATACATAAAGTTTACATCTATGTAAGTACACACTTTTTTAGTTTTTCTTTCTCTAACTGGCAGTACCTGCTGTAGCATTTCTTCTGTGGCATTCAGTTTCTCCCTGTGTTCTTCTAGGCATAGTTCCAAATCTCTTATCTTTTCTCCTTGAGCATCAACTTGATCAGTAAGAACACTCACCTGTACAGAAATGGGATGTACAAATATATCTCAGTATCTTATTTTTGTTGAGGGCAACCTCATCTGGAATGATTATATCTTGTATTATCTGCTTCATTTAATACTCAAATATTTCAGCCATCCTCAGAGGTTTTGTGGTCTGTTGGAAACTAGGAAAATTGGGTTTATATATCTGTGGAATGTCCAGGGATATAAATGTTTTTTTCTATATTTCCTTTACTACTTCCATTATTATTGCAGGAACGTCCTGAAAGCAGTAATGTTCCTCCCAAGGAGTTTTATAGTAAGTTGTTTTTATTTATCCAAAGGACAGTAATCTAAGCAAGTTTTCTATAATAAAAATGCAGTGCAGGCTCAGAAAGTAACACTGGTAATCTTCATCACATCAGTTTCCTGTGAGGTATTTATGTGCATTATTTAGGAAGGGCAAATATGCCAAAGCGGCACATAATGTGATTACAGAGACCACTCAGAATATATTTTATAGCCATTACCTGGATGAAGGAACAAAAGCATGGAAAAGGGAGTGCAAGAAGGACATATTGCTTACCATCAACTTTAGTTTTTGAATGGTTAGCTGACACTTCAAACAACTGAGGCTATCTTTACATGCATAGTGAAATGTTTGGAACCTTCCAGAGCTACTACATAAGCCTTTCAGCAGTAACCCCACCCACTGTGGGGCACCTCACCAGCCCAGTACCTAGCTAAACCCTCAGTTCCTCAGTTTATGTGGTCTCTTTCAGAAAAAAAACTGGAGTTTGGATATGAACATGACTGTAGAGCAGGCCTGCAAAACTCAGCAGTAGTAAGGAGTCAAAATTAAAATAGGCTACCTATCTTTGGGCTGCAGATTGGTTTTCAGTGCTTCACCCTCTAAGTAAAGGTATAATTTAAAGTATTGTGCAAATGAACTATATTATGAAAAAGGGAAGTTTCAATTAATAGCAATGAATTATACTTACACAGTCTGCATAATCATCTGTCAGGAGTGCTTTGACTATGTGTTCCTGTATGGCAGGGGTTGGACTGAATGGCTCTTGTGGTCTCTTTCAACTTGGAGGACCCTTCCAGACAGGATCGATAACCCAGGATCTGATCCCAGGTTTTCTGCTTTAGACTTAATTATATCAGTCCCCACTACCAGATAATTTGGAATAAATAGAAAACCTTGGATCAGATCTTGGAATATAGGACCTGTTTGGCAGGGCCCTACGATTCTATACCTGCATAAAGCTCGGATCGGGAGTGCCCTTTGCTTTGAACCCCAGACTGAGCTGCCTCTGGTGACTCCAACATATGAAACAAAGTCATCCTCGTGCAGGCAGGTTCTGCCATAATCTCTCCCATCACTTCATCTCCCAGCAGGGCAGCAAGGCTCTTCCCACCACCACGGGTAGCACCGCAAGATGGCGGTGGAGGCAAGTGAGTCCTTAGTATCCCTGTCAATCTTCCCAAGCAGACCCCACTGGGTGTGGGCAGTGTTTCCGAGCCTGTGGCATGGATGCTTTTGTGAGGGGAAAACAGGAAAGACGGAGTGTGCCTCCACGGGAAGATGGGGCAATGCTGACAGTGGATAGGGGAAAAGGTAGAACTAGTTAATACCTTCTTTGCCTCAGTCTTACAAAAAGAAAGTCATCTTCAACCTCAGCAAGAAGGAGTGGTTGAGGGATTAGAGGACATCCAACCCCAAATTGGGAAACAAGTCATCCATGAACACTTGGCCACTCTAAATGAATTCAAGTTCCCGGGGCTAGATCAACTACACCCAAGAGTATTGAAGGAACTAGCGGAAGTCATCTCGGAAACACTGACAATCATCTTCCTGGACAACGGGAGAAGTTCCAGCAGATTGGAGGAGGGCCAATGTGGTCCCAAGCTTCAAGAAGGAAAAAAAGAATGACCCAAAAAATTACCGTCTGGTTAGCCTCATGTCGATACCAGGCAAGATTCTGGAAAAGATTGTTAAGGAAGTGATCTGCAATCACTTAGAAACAAATGCGGTCATCGCTAATAGCCAACACAGATTTATCAAAAACAAGTCATGCCAGACTAATCTGATCTCTTTTTTCGGTAGAATTACCTGCTGGGTGGACGCGGGGAATGCCGTGGATGTAGTATACCTGGATTTCGGTAAGGCTTTTGACAAGGTCCCCCATGACCTTCTGGCAAACAAACTAGTCAAATGTGGGCTAGGCAAAATTACGGTTAGGTGGATCTGTAATTGGTTAAATGGACAAACCCAGAGGGTGCTCACCAATGCTTCCTCTTCAGCCTGTAAAGAAGTGACGAGCGGAATACCACAGGGTTCTGTCCTAGGACTGAACCTGTTCAACATCTTTATTAATGACTAGCTGTACCCGGCCACGCGTTGCTGTGGCCCACCTTACCTCCCTCTTTCTCTCCTTCTTTCCCTCATTCCCTTTTCTTCTTTCCTTCTCTCCTTCCTTCCTTCTCTTCCTCTTTCCTTCTTCCTTTTTTCTTTTCCTTCCCTTTCTCTTTCTTCCTTCTCTGCCTCTTTCCTTCCTTCCTTCCTTCCTTCCTTTGGTTTTTGTTTCCATTCTTCCTTTTGTCTGTCCTTCCTTCCCCCCTCTTTCTCTTTCTTTCTCTTCTTCCTTCGCTCCTCTTTCCTTCCTTTTGTTTCCTTATCTCCTTCCTTCTTTCTCTACCCATTTCTTTCCATCCCTCTTCATTTCCTCTTTCTCTCTTTTCTTCCTTCTCTACCTCTTTCCTTCTTTCCTTCACTCTTTGCTTCCATGTTTCCTTCTCTGTTTCCTTCCTTCCTTTGATGTTTTTCCTCTTCCTTGATTGGGCCCGCCGCGGTAAAGGGAGGGGGCGTGTCTTACCAGAGGGGGGTGGGAGGAGGGAAGGATTGAGTCTGGGCAGGAAGAGGCGGGGTGGCGAAGGGAGGGGGCGTGTCTTACCGGAGGGGGGTGGGAGGAGGAAAGGATTGAGTCTGGGCAGGAAGGGGTGGGGCGGCGAAGGGAGGGGGCATGGCTTTTGTGGAGGGGACGTGTTCGGCAGCAGCGGAGGAGGTGGAGGAGGGAAAGAATTGAGTCAGGGTGGATAGGGGCAGGGCGGCAAAGGGAGGGGGCGTGGTTTGCGGTGAAGGAGCGTTGGCCGGCAATGTGCGCGCGGCGGGGGACTTGCGCTGGGGCACTTCTGCGCATGCTCCCTTTGTTTTGGAAATTGTGGGTTTGGTAAAATGTTGTTTGCTATTTTGATGAGATTTGTGCATACCTTATGGGTTGAAGTATGTGCATGGGAATTTTGGTAAATTTTCGTCGGAGTTTTTTTGAGTTTTGCTGTGCCGTTGGACGCCCCTTACAGATTTATATATATAGATTTAGACGAAGGTTTGGAAGGCATGATCATCAAGTTTGCAGATGACACCAAATTGGGGATAGCCAATACTCCAGAGGACAGGAGCAGAATTCAAAACGATCTTGACAGATTAGAGAGATGGGTCAAAACTAACAAAATGAAGTTCAACAGTGACAAATGCAAGATACTCCACTTAGGCAGAAAAAATGAAATGCAAAAATACAGAATGGGGGCCACCTGGCTCGAGAGTAGTACGTGTGAAAATGCGATGCGACGGCAAAAAAAAGCCAATGGGATTTTGGCTTGCATCAATAGGAGTATACTGTCTAGATCCAGAGAAGTCATACTACCCTCTATTCCACACCTGGAATATTGTGTCCAATTCTGGGCACCTCAATTGAAAAGAGATATTGACAAGCTGGAAAGCGCCCAGAAGAGTGTGACTAAAATGATCAAGGGTCTGGAGAACAAGCCCTATGAGGAGCAGCTTAAAGAGCTGGGCATGTTTAGCCTTCAGAAGAGAAGACTGAGAGGAGACATGATAGCCATGTATAAATATGTGAGAGGAAGTCATAGGGAGGAGGGAGCAAGCTTGCTGCCCTGGAGACTAGGACGTGGAACAATGGCTACAAACTGCAAGAAGGGAGATTCTATCTGAACATTAGGAAGAAGGATCTCTCTGCCCCGGAGTGTGGTGGAGGCTTCTTCTTTGGTAGCTTTTAAACAGTCTGGATAGCCATCTGTCAGGGGTGCTTTGAATACAATATTCTTGCTTCTTGGCAGGGAGTTAGACTGGAAGGCCCATGAGGTCTCTTTATGATTCTAGGGCACCTCCCCTCCTCTTACTCTGTGCTGACTTTCCCTCTCCATCTCACCCAGTTTGGAGCCAAGTGGGGAGAGAATGGCCTTCACAAGCATAGTAATAATGGAGGTTGTAGTTTGGTGATTCATCATCACTCCTTGCAGAGAAGGAGCCTCCGATGGCACAGTGGGTTAAACCCCTGTGCCGGCAGGACTGAAGACCAACAGGTTGCAGGTTCAAATCCGGGGAGAGGCGGATGAGCTCCCTCTATCAGCTCCAGCTCCTCATGTGGGGACATGAGAGAAGCCTCCCACAAGGATGATAAAAACATCAAAAAATCATCTGGGCATCCCCTGGGCAACGTCCTTGCAGACGGCCAATTCTCTCACACCAGAAGCGACTTGCACTTTCTCAAGTCACTCCTGTCACGACAAAAAAAAGTCATAGAACGCTGAAGACCTGATGAAATTAATGGCAGCAGGAGAACCAGTCAGAGTGGCAGCCTCTTCGAGCCACTTGAAATCCTTGGGGTGGGTGGGGGGTGCTGTATGGTAGCCTGCGGGGCATATGTTGTGCAGATCTGTTGTACAGTAAGTCCATATTTCAAACCAATATGGAAAGCTTCTTTTATTCAGAATAAATAAATAAATAAATCTTAAGAAAGACCTTACTTGCAGAACTAGAGATCCCTTGTCATTTTCCAAACGTGCAAGCCTCTCTTGATACACATCTCCATTGGCAGATATATGTCCATTAGTCTGAAAAAAACCAAAATAAATAAAACACTGGAATGGAACTTTCTCCCATCTATGTTTCCAATTATAGAAGTAAACTAGCTGTGCCCTGCCACGCGTTGCTGTGGCCTATAGTAAAACTTATCAAAGTTGAGGTAGATATCTGGACTATTATGAAAGAGAGGTACCTACCTATTCCTTCCCCCTTTTCCTCCCCCTTTCTCTCCTTTCTTCCTTCTCTACCTCTTTCTTTCTTTCCTTCTTTCACTACTTGGTTTCATCCTCTCTTTCCTTCATTCCCTCCCCCTTTCTTCCTTTGCCTTTCTTCCCTCCCTGTTTGCTTCCTTCTTTCTCTTTTTATTTCCTTTTATTTCACCACCATCATAACAATAACAATAATGCAATGCATTGCCTCTGGGACCTGACACCTCTCCCATTCCCCCTAAAAGGGTCTCATAGGAATAATAGCATCATAATAATCATAGAAATAACAACCTTTACCCGCCACGCGTTGCTGTGGCCAACCTTCCCTCTTTCTCTCCTTCTTTCCCTCCTTCCTTCCTTCCCTCCCATCTTTCCTTCTCCTCTTCCTTCTCTATCTCTTTCCTTCCTTCCCCCTTTTTCTTTCTCTTCTGGTCTCTTTTCTTCTCTCTTTCCTTCTTTCCTTCCCTCCCTCTTTCTCTACATCTTCCCCCTTCCTTCACTCCCTCTTTCCTTCCTTCTTTCCCTTTTTTCTTTCCTTCTTTCCTTCCTTCCCCCTTTTCTTTCTCTTCTGTCTCTCTTTTCTTCCTTCTCTCTTTCCTTCTTTCCTTCCCTCCCTCTTTCTCTACATCTTCCCCTTCCTTCACTCCCTCTTTCCTTCCTTCATTCCCTTTTTTCCTTTCCTTCTCTCCTTCCTTCCTTCCCCCTTTTTCTTTTCCTCCCTCTGTCTCTCATTTCTTCCTTCTCTACCTCTTTCCTTCCTTCCCCCTTTTTCTTTCTCTTCTGCTGTCTCTCTTTCTTTCCTTCCATCTTTCCTTTTCTTTCCTTTTCATCTTCCTTCTTTCTCTAACTTTCCTTCCTTCCCCCTTTTTCTTTACCTCCCTTTCTCTTTCTTCCTTCTTTCCTTCCTTCCTGTCTTTCCTGGATTTTGACAGGGCGGGAAGGGGCGGGGTGGGGTTTGGAGGTGGCGTGAAGTAAAAGGAGGTAAGATTGGGGCGGGGAGTGATGGAGCGTGGGGTTGTGTGTGTGTGTGCGGCGGCGGGGGGAGTGATGGAGCGTGGGGTTGCGTGTGTGTGTGCGGCAGTGGGGGGAGTGGGGTTGCGCGTGTGTGTGTGGCGGTGGGGGAGTGATGGAGCGTGGGGTTGCGTGTGTGTGTGCGGCGGGGGGAGTGATGGAGCGTGGGGTTGTGTGTGTGCGTGCGGCAGGGGGGTGTGCGGGAAGCGGCGCGGCAGGGTTTGGAGTGGGCATGGCAGAGGGAACGTTGGCCGGAAGACTGTGTGCGCGCGCCAGGGAACTTGCGGCTGGGCACCAATGCGCATGCTCAGTTGTTTTGCCGTTTTGTGAGTGTGTTGTTGTGTTGTTTTTCATTTTGAGTAGATATGTTTGTACCTTGTGGGTTGTGTTATGGGCATGGGAATTTTGGTTAAGTTTCGTTGGGGGGTTTTTGAGTTTTGTTGTTTTGCCGTTTTGTGAGTGTGTTGTTGTGTTGTTTTTCATTTTGAGTAGATATGTTTGTACCTTGTTGGTTGTGTTATGGGCATGGGAATTTTGGTTAAGTTTCGTTGGGGTTTTTTTGAGTTTTGTTGTTTTGCCGTTTTGTGAGTGTGTTGTTGTGTTGTTTTTCATTTTGAGTAGATATGTTTGTACCTTGTGGGTTGTGTTATGGGCATGGGAATTTTGGTTAAGTTTCGTTGGGGGTTTGTGAGTTTTGTTGTTTTGCCGTTTTGTGAGTGTGTTGTTGTGTTGTTTTTCATTTTGAGTAGATATGTTTGTACCTTGTGGGTTGTGTTATGGGCATGGGAATTTTGGTTAAGTTTCGTTGGTTTTTTTTTAGTTTTGTTGTTTTGCCGTTTTGTGAGTGTGTTGTTGTGTTGTTTTTCATTTTGAGTAGATATGTTTGTACCTTGTGGGTTGTGTTATGGGCATGGGAATTTTGGTTAAGTTTCGTTGGGGTTTTTTTGAGTTTTGTTGTTTTGCCGTTTTGTGAGTGTGTTGTTGTGTTGTTTTTCATTTTGAGTAGATATGTTTGTACCTTGTGGGTTGTGTTATGGGCATGGCAATTTTGGTACAGTTTCGTTGGGGGGTTGTGGAGTTTTGCTGTCCGGTTGAACCAACCTAACAGATTTATATATATACATAAAGTGCCAGATGAATGCTACAGATGTTTCAGGATGTTACTGTCAAGGCTGCAAAACATGGACAAATGTGAATAGAAATAGCCAGTAACCAATGATGCAGAACCGATTAACTCAACAGTCTCAATCAAACATGAAATTGAAAATAAAGCATTGTGTATCATTTACACTGTCTACAACAGAACCATAACTTTTCTCAATTCGCTTCTGACACGATAAAGAAATAAAATAAACCATAACTTAATGCAAGCTACAGCTGGATGATACAAGTTTTCAAAACTACAACTCCTACGGATCTACAAAAATGATCCTGGATACAAACATGAAACTGTATAATTTGAGCAGTTAGCTTGATTAATAAAGGTGTTCTTATTTATTGTAACAATACTATGATTCTTGCGGGGGGTGGGGTGGAATTAAACGTCACCTACAGGTGTTTACCTCTGTACCAACAAGGATAATTCTTACTCAAGACAAGGAGTTCATAGCAAGACCAATAATCTACAAGCCATTAATCCATATTGTTTATCTCAATAATGGAATACAGATAACATAAGATAATGATGATGTGCCAATATGGGCCAAATCCTATCCTTGAAAAATCAGAGCCTGGAATATTTTTAAAAATTGCTTCAGAACTCAATGCTGGCAAAATTTGAAGCTAATACAAAATCAGAGCCAGGAGCAGTTAGATTTATTCAGGTTTTAACATACATAAAATAAAATGAGCACTAATATAAGAGCAGAACAAAAAAGTAGAATATAGAAACACAAAAAAGAATATCTAATGGAATGGGGATTGGTAAAGGGGTCGGTATGAGGGTTAGAATACGTAAAGGCTACTGGAACCTAGGGTTGGTTAGGGAAAGTGAAGGGGGAGGGAAGGACCATGGGAGAGGAGACCCTGAAAATATTAGCATAAGAAAAAAAAAGAAAATAAATACAAAGAAAAATAAAAAATAAAAATAAAATTGTGGTTTCCAATCCTCTTTATTGTGATGTCTCTTCATTTCAGTCTGCCATGTTTCTTAACTGCACTTCTCTTCCTCTTTAGTCCAATATCCAGATGGTGGTATTTCTAAATATTTAAATCATAATCTTAAACTTCTTTTGCCTTTTCCTTACAACGTTCCAATTTATTTCATCTTTGGTATCCCTTGGTTTCTCTTTTTTAGTAGTTGAGTTAATTTGTCCATATTTCTAATTTCTAATATTTTAACTAACCAGTCCTGATTTTTTGGTGTCTCTTCCAATTTCCACATTCTCACATAGACTATTCTAGCTGCCATCATTAAATACCATACCAGAGCCTCTTCGGTCTTTTCTGGTTTTTGGTTTATTATTCCCAATAAATATATTTCTGACTTCCACTGAAGTGTTATTTTAAGTATTTTTTTTAATTTTGTTCTGATTTTCCAATAATGTTTACATCCTGTATCACACACTTCCAGCATTTTGATTGTATATCCTTATTAAATTTCCCTATTTTTTTAGGTGTGATGTACCATGTATATATTATTTTAATCCAATTCTCTTTAAGGTCATTTCCTTTTTTTAAAAAAAATTATTATGAGTATATATAAAAAATTGCAAGGAAAGTGGGAGAATATTTTCAAGAAGACTTAGAAAAGTAGGCAATTTTAGAAAAAAAAGAAAAAAGTAATAATAGTTCTTTTAATTTTCACTTTTCATATAATCCTCCAATGTCTTCCAAATTGTTCTTTTCATACTTTTCCCATTGTTTTGTCGTAACCAAAAGATAAGTTCATTCGTATCTTTGATTGCTAATATTTTGTCTAACCATTGTATCTTTGTGGGTATATTTTCTTGTTTTAGAAAATATACCCACAAAGATACAATGGTTAGACAAAATATTAGAAATATTAGCAAAGATTATTCTAGCAGCTGTTGAGAGATATATGAATAATTTTTTTGTGTTTTCATCTTTAAAAAACATGCCTAGTAGATACATCTCTGGCTGCATTGGATAGTTTATATTTAAATTTTTCTTACATTCAGTATGGATCATTTTCCAATATTCCATGGTTTTTTTACACGACCACCACATATGGTGAAAAGATCCTTCATGTGTCTTACACTTCCAACATTTTTTGTCCATATTGTTATACATAGTCCCTAATTTTTTGGTGTTATGTACCATCGGTGTAGCATTTTTAGCCAGTTTTCTTGAAGATCTGTAGCATATGTATATTTTAAACGTTTATTCCAGATCAATTCCCATTCTTTCAAATGGATTGATCTACCAATATTTTTTGCCCATTGAATCATTGAATGGTTAAATTCTTCCTTTTCTATCGACCATTCCAGTAATTTATTGTAGATAATTGTAATAGTTTTCTTTTCGCACCTTAATATTTTGTCCCAGGGATCATCTTTTTCATTGAAACCTAGTTTCTTGTCTTTATTGAAATATTCCTTAATTTGTTTTTTTTATTTAATCTTTATTAAGTTTTTCACAGGTAATTAAAAACAAGAGGGGATTTGGGAGGGGTAGGGGCAATAGGCAAGGAATGGTGGGTGAGGAAGGGGCGGGAGAGGGAGTGGGGTTATAGGGGGGAAGGGAAGGATCTGGGTTGTTAGTGGGGGGAGGGGGGGAATTAAGAAAAAGAATAAAAGCTTGTGACTTCCCAGTATCATCATAAGGGTCTCTTCTTTTCCTCTTCCTTT